TGTGAAGAAGTGACGAAACTATGACAACTACAATACACATGACATCATCTGGTTTGTGTAAATGTATAATGAATCAATGACAACTAAAATGCAGGTAATAACAAGTGGTTTGTGAGAAGGTATTTTGAAGTTATGTCAGAATACATGTTATATCAAGTGATTTGTGTGAAAGGGTAATGAAACCATGACAGCTAACATGATGTAATATCAAATGGTTTGTTTGAAGGGATGATGAAATTATGACAGGTATAATACATGTAATGTCAAGTGGTTTGTGTGAATGTATGTGAAAGTATGACAGCTAGAATACATGTAATATCAAGTGGTTTGTGAGAAGGTATTTTGAAGTTATGTCAGAATACATGTTATATCAAGTGATTTGTGTGAAAGGGTAATGAAACCATGACAGCTAACATGATGTAATATCAAATGGTTTGTTTGAAGGGATGATGAAATTATGACAGGTATAATACATGTAATGTCAAGTGGTTTGTGTGAATGTATGTGAAAGTATGACAGCTAGAATACATGTAATATCAAGTGGTTTGTGAGAAGGTATTTTGAAGCTATATCAGCTAGAATATGTGTAATATCATGTGATTTGTGTGAAAGGGTAATGAAACCATGACAGCTAACATGATGTAATATCAAATGGTTTGTTTGAAGGGATGATGAAATTATGACAGGTATAATACATGTAATGTCAAGTGGTTTGTGTGAATGTATGTGAAACTATGACAGCTAGAATACATGTAATATCAAGTGGTTTGTGAGAAGGTATTTTGAAGCTATATCAGCTAGAATATGTGTAATATTAAGTGGTTTCTGTGAAGAGATGGTGAAACTGTGACTTGCTAGAATATATTTAATGTCAAGTGTTTCGTGAGAGGTATTTTGAAATTATATCAGCCCTAATACTTGTAATATCAAGTGGTTTGTGTGAAGGTATGATGGAACTATGTCAGCTAGAGTACATGTAATATTAAGTGGTTTCTGTGAAGGGATGATGAAAGCTGTCATAGGTTTAATATCAAGTGATTTGTGTGAAAGGATGATGAAACTGTGTCAGCTATAACACATGTAATATCAAGTAAATTTGTGTAAAGGTATGATAAGGCTATGACAGATGGATTACATGTAATATCAATTGATTTGTGTGATGGTATGATGAAACTGTGAAAGCTATAATACATTTAGTACTGAGTAGGTTGTGTGAAGGTAAGGCCATGTTGTAACATCAACAGAAAATTTGAATTTCAGAAACTAGGTAACTCCTGTTTAAAATTTTATGTTTAATAATGACTAGCTGGTTGCACAAGGGGGTTTGATGATAAAGAGAAATTGAAAAATTATATTTTTCTTATTAGACCTCCAATGATGTAAAACAAAAAATTGAAGTCTTCTATTTGTTAAAACAGTTTTGTGAAAATTTATACACAAATTGCATTTCTTTTTGTTATTCCTTGTGTATGGAGACCATTTCTGTTCAGGTTCTGAACCAGTGTTAAGAATTTTCTTTCTTTCAAGTCAATGTTCCTTCTTGTATATGTTTTATTTAAGATAAAATTTCCACTACTTTAAGATAAGTACAAGGGTGAAAAAAAAGTTATCTTTGAAAACATTTTGGAAAGTGAAACATGTTACAGAGTATAATATTGGTTATATCATAGAGTTTTAGAGTTCATTTTTATTCTGATAAAGTTTTGGATTCTTCTTGTTAAATTTTATTGAATAATAAATCATCAGTATTGATCTTTCTGTGTGTATCTAGTATACAGATAAACATACAATTTTAGTGAAATGCTTCTTAATGATTATTGGCATGACTTGGAAAAATTTGGTTTATCTATTTTGGAAAAATTTGGACACTTTGGTAACACTGACCATACTAATGTGATTTAAGTAGCAACAGAGAATGCTAATTGTAGGTACTATAGTTGAGCAAATAAATTAAGTGATTAGAAGTTTTTATTTATTTCTTTTAGATTTAGTTTTGATACACTTTTTTATGATGACTGTAACATACATTATCAAAAACTCAGACTTTAACTATTTTTGACATGACTTATAAAATTTATGAAATAATTTATGTTTACCAACTTGGTTTTGAAGTGAATTTGGGTCACAGTTAAGATATCATTTAAAACTGCCTGATGGAAATTGTCATAGTTGCACTTGCTGGCTCAAATGTTTTTTCTGATGATTGTTGTCTCCATGACAGCCCAGCACAGAAGTTGTTGAAGCATGAACTAGCTGTCCAAAAGAATTTTGCATTCTATGTTTTCTAGAAACAGTGACTTGTTATGTAGTGTTTTTTATGTTGATAGAGTCACCAAGTTTTCAAAATATTCAAATTAATCAGTTATTAATATGGAATTTATGCTGTGAAAATTGTGCAAATAAAGCACGTAAGTGTGATTTCTTGGTTGTTTAATCATATCTTATTGACACAAACACAGAAAGTATGGTAATAAATACATATTATGTTAATGCAACTCTTTATGCCAACTCTGAAATTCCCATTGTTCGTTTCATTTGGATATTTGCACATAGCTACACAAGGGCTATTGGTGCTAGCCATTCCTAATTTTGAACTGATAGACTAGAGGGAAATTCAACAGCACTCACTGCCAACTCTTTGGGTGCTCTAGTTGAATAGTGAGATTTAACCCATCTACAACCACAAAAGACCATTAAAAAGTCATGTAAGGACCAATTAAGCAAAGAAAAAAAATGTCAGAACATACGAAAGTCATGTTGGCACTAACTGAACAGAACATAAAATTCTGGTATGGAACATTACCTCCTCTCACATGTATAGATATTCTCGTTCAGTGCTGCCCTCTATATGCAATTTTTCTGTTGTTGTTTTTTGCATGACAGAATCCTTGAACTCCCATGTACCCCATAATCAATGTGATTTAACAATCATGCAGCAACCATATAGTATTGTTACATATCTGCTTGTTTGTTTGTTTCTGGTAGAAATTCTTTCCAAGGATCTTCACCTATACAAGTTCTTTCATGATTAAACAAGTTTATTCTTCCTCGATACAAACTTTTAGTGCACATTAGTTCCACAATCAGTACGTTTCTCATCACTTTTAAACTTAACTTTTATAACACACACTATAAATCACAGCAATTCACAATCTCGATAACTTCGCTCTCGACGAGTGCAAAACATACACTTTAAGCTCACTAACTCAAATTAACAGAATCATAAATTACACGGAACTCAAAGTAACTACTGCTCTCACTTCATTTATCTCCACCCTGTTGGCTTTCTCTACCAGGCTTATATACTAATGAAGAGGGCATCTCGAACACACTCGGACTTCCCCGATTAATCGAGAAACTCATCATGCACACCACATGACTCGCTGTCTTAACACTGCCCCTTCCTTAGTATTGTTTGTCCCGAACAATAGCCACTTACGTTAAACCAATAGATAATTATCAATAACTTAAATAAATGTACAGAATTTACAAACACAAAATTAAAGTACAACAAAGTCGTTTTTTCTTTTGTAATGGTCTCCATCTCATTGGCTTCTGCTTCACGTGGGATTCATCTGCTCCATCAGGAAATGACCCCATATCGGTAGCAGTCACATCATTAAGAGTTTCACTGTTTTCCTTCTCAGAACCGGGTAGAGTTTCTTCTTCAAAAGTGAATTTTTCAAGTGACACGTCTTCAGCAACATCATTTGTTCTATTGCTCATTTTGTTCCAACTGAAATGTCCTGGATCGTGCTAATGCCAAAGCCTGTTGGCATGCACCACCTTTGGCTTACCTCGCCCACCACATTTTATTCAAAAGTCACGTCTGATAGACTATGCACTGTGTCGTATATGCCTTCTCATGGAAAAGACAACTTAAGAGACTTCCCTTTGGTTTTTTTTTATTATACAACCACACTTTGTCTCCTGGTACAAAGCTGACTTCAATAGATTTATTATCATAACATAGCTTCATGGGATCAGCAGACGTTTTTAAGTTTGAACGAACTTGATAATGAATATCATTCATATTTTCAGATAACAATTTCACGAACTCTGGCACATTTTCAGGAAACACTTCATAAGGTGGGCATCCTGTTATCAGGACCACTGGCAACCGAAGTTCCTGATGAAACATCAGCTTTGCTGGAGTGTAACCAGCGGTTTCATGCTCTGCTATACTATAGGCCATCAACAGTGGGGGTGTAGGACATCCCAGTCATCTTGGCGACTATTACAAAACTTTGCCAATTCCTGTCCCAGTGTACTATTCTACCATCCCATCAGACTGTGGGTAAAGTGGCGTTGTCCTGGTCTTTCGTATGCCAAACAACTAGCAGCATTCATGGAACACAGCTGATTCAAAGTTATGGCCTTGATCTGAATGCAGTTCGTATAGCATACTAAACCTGAAGAAGAAATCACTAATAGCCGAACCTAAAGTTGTGAGCTTCTTGATTTGGTATTGCATATGCCTCAGGCCAAATAATCCATCACCACACAAATGTACTTGTTTCCAGCACGAGTTTAGGGTAAAGGACCAGCAATGTCAATGGCTACTCTTTCCATTGGTGCTACAACTTGATATAACTTCATTGGAGCACGTCCCTTATGCTTGGGTCCCCTTTTTGCACAATATGTATTGCAGGTCCTGCACCATTCTTCCACATCTTGTCTCATACCTATCTAGTAAAATCTCTGCTGTAGGTGACTCAATGTCTTCTTAACTCCAGGATGTCCTCCTGTTAAACTATCATGGGATTAACGTAGCACAACTTCCCATAACTTTCTCGGTATAACTGTTTCCTAGGTCGTCACTTTCCCATCTCCAGA